TCACATGCCAACTCCCTCTCACATGCCAACTCCCTCTCACATGCCAACTCCCTCCACATGCCAACTCCCTCTCACATGCCAACTCCCTCTCACATGCCAACTCCCTCTCACTGCCAACTCCCTCTCACGTGCCAACTCCCTCTCACGTGCCAACTCCCTCTCACATGCTAACTCCCTCTCACATCCCACCTCCCTCTCAGATGCCAACTCCCTCTCACATGCCAACTCCCTCTCACATGCCAACTCCCTCTCCCATCCCAACTCCCTCTCACATGCCAACTCCCTCTCACATGCCAACTCCCTCTCACATGCCAACTCCCTCTCACGTGCCAACTCCCTCTCACATGCCAACTCCCTCTCACATGCCACCTCCCTCTCACATGCCAACTCCCTCTCACATGCCAACTCCCTCTCACATGCCAACTCCCTCTCACGTGCCAACTCCCTCTCACATGCCAACTCCCTCTCACATGCCAACTCCCTCTCACGTGCCAACTCCCTCTCACGTGCCAACTCCCTCTCACATGCCAACTCCCTCTCACATCCCACCTCCCTCTCAGATGCCAACTCCCTCTCACATGCCAACTCCCTCTCACATGCCAACTCCCTCTCACATCCCAACTCCCACTCACATGCCAACTCCCTCTCACATGCCAACTCCCTCTCACATGCCACCTCCCTCTCACATGCCAACTCCCTCTCACATGCCAACTCCCTCTCACATGCCAACGCCCTCTCACATGCCACCTCCCTCTCACATGCCACCTCCCTCTCACATGCCACCCTCCCTCTCACGTGCCACCTCCCTCTCACATGCCAACTCCCTCTCACATGCCAACTCCCTCTCACATGCCAACTCCCTCTCACATGCCAACTCCCTCTCACATCCCAACTCCCTCTCACATCCCACCTCCCTCTCACATGCCAACTCCCTCTCACATGCCAACTCCCTCTCACATGCCAACTCCCTCTCACATGCCAACTCCCTCTCACATGCCAACTCCCTCTCACATCCCACCTCCCTCTCACATGCCAACTCCCTCTCACATGCCAACTCCCTCTCACATGCCAACTCCCTCTCACATCCCACCTCCCTCTCAGATGCCAACTCCCTCTCACATGCCAACTCCCTCTCACATGCCAACTCCCTCTCACATCCCAACTCCCTCTCACATGCCAACTCCCTCTCACATGCCAACTCCCTCTCACATGCCAACTCCCTCTCACGTGCCAACTCCCTCTCACATGCCAACTCCCTCTCACATGCCACCTCCCTCTCACATGCCAACTCCCTCTCACATGCCAACTCCCTCTCACGTGCCAACTCCCTCTCACATGCCAACTCCCTCTCACATGCCAACTCCCTCTCACGTGCCAACTCCCTCTCACGTGCCAACTCCCTCTCACATGCCAACTCCCTTTCACATCCCACCTCCCTCTCAGATGCCAACTCCCTCTCACATGCCAACTCCCTCTCACATGCCAACTCCCTCTCACATCCCAACTCCCACTCACATGCCAACTCCCTCTCACATGCCAACTCCCTCTCACATGCCACCTCCCTCTCACATGCCAACTCCCTCTCACATGCCAACTCCCTCTCACATGCCAACGCCCTCTCACATGCCACCTCCCTCTCACATGCCACCTCCCTCTCACATGCCACCTCCCTCTCACGTGCCACCTCCCTCTCACATGCCAACTCCCTCTCACATGCCAACTCCCTCTCACATGCCAACTCCCTCTCACATGCCAACTCCCTCTCACATCCCAACTCCCTCTCACATCCCACCTCCCTCTCACATGCCAACTCCCTCTCACATGCCAACTCCCTCTCACATGCCAACTCCCTCTCACATGCCAACTCCCTCTCACATGCCAACTCCCTCTCACATCCCACCTCCCTCTCACATGCCAACTCCCTCTCACATGCCAACTCCCTCTCACATGCCAACTCCCTCTCACATCCCACCTCCCTCTCACATGCCAACTCCCTCTCACATGCCAACTCCCTCTCACATGCCAACTCCCTCTCACATCCCAACTCCCTCTCACATCCCACCTCCCTCTCACATGCCAACTCCCTCTCACATGCCAACTCCCTCTCACATGCCAACTCCCTCTCACATGCTTACTCCCTCTCACATCCCACCTCCCTCTCACATGCCAACTCCCTCTCACATCCCAACTCCCTCTCACATCCCAACTCCCTCTCACATCCCAACTCCCTCTCACATGCCAACTCCCTCTCACATGCCACCTCCCTCTCACATGCCAACTCCCTCTCACATGCCAACTCCCTCTCACATGCCAACTCCCTCTCACGTGCCAACTCCCTCTCACATGCCAACTCCCTCTCACATGCCAACTCCCTCTCACGTGCCAACTCCCTCTCACGTGCCAACTCCCTCTCACATGCCAACTCCCTCTCACATCCCACCTCCCTCTCAGATGCCAACTCCCTCTCACATGCCAACTCCCTCTCACATGCCAACTCCCTCTCACATGCCAACTCCCTCTCACATGCCAACTCCCTCTCACATGCCAACTCCCTCTCACATGCCAACTCCCTCTCACGTGCCAACTCCCTCTCACGTGCCAACTCCCTCTCACGTGCCAACTCCCTCTCACATCCCACCTCCCTCTCAGATGCCAACTCCCTCTCACATGCCAACTCCCTCTCACATGCTTACTCCCTCTCACATCCCACCTCCCTCTCACATGCCAACTCCCTCTCACATGCCAACTCCCTCTCACATGCCAACTCCCTCTCACGTGCCAACTCCCTCTCACATGCCAACTCCCTCTCACATGCCACCTCCCTCTCACATGCCAACTCCCTCTCACATGCCAACTCCCTCTCACATGCCAACTCCCTCTCACGTGCCAACTCCCTCTCACATGCCAACTCCCTCTCACATGCCAACTCCCTCTCACGTGCCAACTCCCTCTCACGTGCCAACTCCCTCTCACATGCCAACTCCCTCTCACATCCCACCTCCCTCTCAGATGCCAACTCCCTCTCACATGCCAACTCCCTCTCACATGCCAACTCCCTCTCACATCCCAACTCCCACTCACATGCCAACTCCCTCTCACATGCCAACTCCCTCTCACATGCCACCTCCCTCTCACATGCCAACTCCCTCTCACATGCCAACTCCCTCTCACATGCCAACGCCCTCTCACATGCCACCTCCCTCTCACATGCCACCTCCCTCTCACATGCCACCTCCCTCTCACGTGCCACCTCCCTCTCACATGCCAACTCCCTCTCACATGCCAACTCCCTCTCACATGCCAACTCCCTCTCACATGCCAACTCCCTCTCACATCCCAACTCCCTCTCACATCCCACCTCCCTCTCACATGCCAACTCCCTCTCACATGCCAACTCCCTCTCACATGCCAACTCCCTCTCACATGCCAACTCCCTCTCACATCCCAACTCCCTCGCACATCCCACCTCCCTCTCACATGCCAACTCCCTCTCACATGCCACCTCCCTCTCACATGCCAACTCCCTCTCACATGCCAACTCCCTCTCACATCCCACCTCCCTCTCAGATGCCAACTCCCTCTCACATGCCAACTCCCTCTCACATGCCAACTCCCTCTCACATGCCAACTCCCTCTCACATGCCAACTCCCTCTCACATGCCAACTCCCTCTCACATGCCAACTCCCTCTCACGTGCCAACTCCCTCTCACGTGCCAACTCCCTCTCACGTGCCAACTCCCTCTCACATCCCACCTCCCTCTCAGATGCCAACTCCCTCTCACATGCCAACTCCCTCTCACATGCTTACTCCCTCTCACATCCCACCTCCCTCTCACATGCCAACTCCCTCTCACATGCCAACTCCCTCTCACATGCCAACTCCCTCTCACGTGCCAACTCCCTCTCACATGCCAACTCCCTCTCACATGCCACCTCCCTCTCACATGCCAACTCCCTCTCACATGCCAACTCCCTCTCACATGCCAACTCCCTCTCACGTGCCAACTCCCTCTCACATGCCAACTCCCTCTCACATGCCAACTCCCTCTCACGTGCCAACTCCCTCTCACGTGCCAACTCCCTCTCACATGCCAACTCCCTCTCACATCCCACCTCCCTCTCAGATGCCAACTCCCTCTCACATGCCAACTCCCTCTCACATGCCAACTCCCTCTCACATCCCAACTCCCACTCACATGCCAACTCCCTCTCACATGCCAACTCCCTCTCACATGCCACCTCCCTCTCACATGCCAACTCCCTCTCACATGCCAACTCCCTCTCACATGCCAACGCCCTCTCACATGCCACCTCCCTCTCACATGCCACCTCCCTCTCACATGCCACCTCCCTCTCACGTGCCACCTCCCTCTCACATGCCAACTCCCTCTCACATGCCAACTCCCTCTCACGTGCCAACTCCCTCTCACATGCCAACTCCCTCTCACATCCCAACTCCCTCTCACATCCCACCTCCCTCTCACATGCCAACTCCCTCTCACATGCCAACTCCCTCTCACATGCCAACTCCCTCTCACATGCCAACTCCCTCTCACATGCCAACTCCCTCTCACATCCCACCTCCCTCTCACATGCCAACTCCCTCTCACATGCCAACTCCCTCTCACATGCCAACTCCCTCTCACATCCCACCTCCCTCTCACATGCCAACTCCCTCTCACATGCCAACTCCCTCTCACATGCCAACTCCCTCTCACATCCCAACTCCCTCTCACATCCCACCTCCCTCTCACATGCCAACTCCCTCTCACATGCCAACTCCCTCTCACATGCCAACTCCCTCTCACATCCCAACTCCCTCTCACATCCCACCTCCCTCTCACATGCCAACTCCCTCTCACATGCCAACTCCCTCTCACATGCCAACTCCCTCTCACATGCTTACTCCCTCTCACATCCCACCTCCCTCTCACATGCCAACTCCCTCTCACATCCCAACTCCCTCTCACATGCCACTTCATCCCTTCCCATACCTCAGGCCACGGGCGACCTGCGGCCGTCCTTCTTCTACATCCTGGCAGTGATGCTGCTGCCGCTCATAGCACTGCACCTCACTGTGGACCATGCACGCGGCATCACGGACGCGGGGCGCAGCAGCAAGGGCGGCGGTGACATGGGGATAGCGCAGGACGACCAGCCCAACGTGGTGGGCAGCGTTGTGCCCTACACCGCCATGCGCGCACACTGACCTGACTCGCCTAACAGTCTAAACCGAACCTATATGGACACATCAAAAAGGTCTCATTGCTCCAGCCCAATGTTGCCGCCATAAGGGTGCAGTGATTTTCTGTATAGAACTACTGTTTCTACGTGCGGAAACGGTCCTCCTAATCCTAGATGCAATGTGGTGGGCAGAGTGCCACTGTGCAACGCCAAGCGGCTGCAGTGGCTGTAGTGCCGCTATGATTGCTCTGCTGCTAGTATTCTATGGTTGCCGCTCCTAACCGTTTCCTAGGGCATGCTCAAATTTTGGTTACTTGTACTAGTAAGCAGACTGTATATAAGCAGAGTCCATTAACAAGAAGTGTGCATATCTGGCAGTTTGGACTGATGTCGACATCCATCTGTTACATTCGGTGCTGCAGAGAGCGAGGGCTTTATGCAGAGCTGCGTTAGGCAACCGGTCGAACAGGCAACGCCCCGAATTGCCTGTTGACCACACGATGGAAGAACCATGCAAAATTGCGGTGCACCCCCTATAATGTGGTACAATAAGGGGACACACACATGGCTAATGCTCTAGGATGAAACTGCAGCATGTAAGCACATCAGAGTGGTAGGACAAGGTGGGGCACGTCAGTGATAGGACAAGGTGGGGCACGCCAGACTGCCTCTAGCCACCAGCCTGTTCTTCCTGCCCCCGCCCACCTCGCCTGCTGCACCCTCCAAACCCTGCTGCCCTGCTACGCCCTCCTCCGTCTGCTCCCCCCCATGCTGTCTGTGGTGCGGCAGCTCGTAGCAGGCGGTCATGGCGCAGATGGAGTGCCGCCGCTGCGCCTGGGGGGACTGCGAGCGCGGGCACGACCGCCCCTTGCCCTCACTGCCCTGCTCCTCCAACCCATGCCGCCCATACCCAGCTCCATCCCCGGCCTCATACCCCTGCTGCTGCAGGTGCAGCATGCGTGCATAGTGGCTCGCCCCGGCGTGCTGGGTGGAGGCACTGGAACACCCAGCGGAGTGCGCGGGCGAGGGGGACGCCCAGCAGCCAGCAGAGGGCATGGGAGGGCGCTGCGCGCTGTGCTGCATCCACGCGAGCTGGCGGTTGTGCTGGCTGCTGGCATCTGAAGACGCCCCCGGGGAGGACGACGCGGGGTTGGAGCCGGGCGGAGGGAGCTCGGCGGCGGGCACGTGGGCGTGGAAGTGGGCGATGATGGTGCGCTGGAGGGACTCCACCGGCTGGCCCTTCTCCTGCGCTATGAGGTGCAGCGCGGTGGTGAGCGCGTACACCGACAGCTTGCGCTCGCTGCCGCGGGTCACCTTGCTGAATATGATGTCCGCGCTCTGTGTGGGGTGGAGGGTGGTGGGGAGGAGGGGGGATGAGGGAGGAGAATGGATGATGAGAGAAAGGACACATGTGGGAAGTGAGAGCGTAATATTTGAACAAATGGAACACAACGGGAGTCAGCTGGAAGCAGGTTGCAGCGAGATCACGAGAATCAATGCTGAGAGAAGCTGCAGGCCAGCAGCAGGAGGTGGAGAGTACGAGGAGGGCAAACAACGTACAGTGGTGGTGAAGCGCGCGTCGAGGATGCCGGTCTCCTTGCACATCTTGATGTAGCGGATGCTGTCCATGCGCGGCGGAGGCAGGCCCTGCAGCTGCTGCCTGCCGCACTGTGCCTGATCAATGAGACGCGCACAAATGCACGAGATGCAGATGCACACAGCATGGGCAGTGAGCGCAGTGCTCTTGTAGTGGCTTGGGCATGAGCACTGATGGCAACAGTGTCAGCCGTGACCTTAAGTTCATATAAAATTGCAGGCAAGCATTGTCTCAGGGAAAGTGTGTAGTGTGGTCAAATATTGGGTGACAATGCAAGGAAGGATTGAGGGAATGGTTTCGGTGGGTTGAGTCACAGGGAAAATGTCGTGATTGGGAAGAGGGACATGGCGAGGGAGGGCGGCATGAGACACGAGGTGTGGGTGGGGGGAATCACCAGGGGAACGAAGTGGTGGCGGGCGAAGTGCGGCAGAGAGAAGAAGCGGAAGGCGTCAAAGAACATGAGACTCGCCACCGCATCCTCCGCTGCTGCTGCTGCTGGGTCACAGCTGGACGCCTGCTCACTCACGCTGCTGCTCTCCCCATCTGCAGCACGGTGACACGGCGGCAGGGAGGAACGTTAGGAGCAGGGCAGACGTCATGGCACACAGCATGCGCGCACCCACCCACTCAGTACAAGACTGAAGGCCAAACATACACAGACACGCTATTCCCTCCGACTCACCCCCTCTCCTCCTCTCTCCCTCTGCACCCACATGCCACTCACTGTCATATTGCTGTGTGCCTCTGCCTGCACCGCTCCCTGCCGTCCTCCCCATCTCCCCTCCCGCCTGCGCCCTGCTGCCTTGCCTCAACTCCTCAGCTGCTGCTGCCACGGCTGACGCCATCACCCGCACCATGGCCCCATGCGCATCAACGGCTGCAGCCATCTGCACGGGCCCCCCTCTGCCCGCCACTTCCTCCCGCGCATAGAAGCGCTCCAAGGCCTCCCCATCCCTCGCCCCTGCACCTGCTAGGCTTGGTGCATACGCCCCCCCCCCTGCACGTTCTCATTGCGCCCTCCTGTTCCCCTCCCCGCGCCATCCACCCACGCCTGCTGCCCCTCCGCCCACCTCCCGCCCTTCTCCTCCCCGCCCATCCCCATGCCTTCATGCGAGTTGTGAGCCGACAGTGATGACGTCAGCTCACCCAGAGGCTCTGGGCGGCAGGCCTGAGAGTCAGTTTCCGCCTGCTCCTGCGCCTCCACTGACCGCGTGCGGATCAGCCTCAGCCTGGGCGGAAAATCGTCCCCAGGCGGCACTATGTCCCCTGCCATCCCCCCACCCCCAACCCCCCCAACAGCAGCACCCCCACCCGCACCACCGGGCCGTCCGCCCCGCCCCTCCCTCAGCGAGTAGGAGGCGTGGGCACCGAGGGGGGTGATGGCGGGGGAGGACGGCGCACCATGGGCGGATGCCGCGGGGGTGTATGCAGCATGCGCGGAGGCGGCGTGCATGGGGGCGGAGTGGGAGAGGGAGAGGCGGCGGGAGTGCGCGGAGGAGAGGGTTTGGTGCGAGGCGAGGAGCGACGAGGAGGCGTGGTGCGAGAGCGTCATGGAGTGGCGCGTGGCGGACGTGAGCGCGGGCTGCGGCAGGTCCATGGCCAGCGCCTGGCGAGGGCGCACGGGGGGAAGAGGGAGGGGCGTAAGGAATGGCGGCTAGGTTTGACATGGCTGAATGACGTGATTGTGGAAGCGAAACTGATGTAACCTCGCCATACCTGGTGTTTCAGTTCACTCCCAATTCCTGCTGCGTCATCCCTTTCCCCCCTCCCTCCTCTTTCCCTCCCCCCCGCCCCCCCCCCACCCTTTTCACCAGCTGTATCACCCGCCCTACCTGCTGTATGAGATCAGTGGCCGCGACCCCCAGCTTGTCGGCCATGACAGCAACGGCATCGCAGAAGTTCTCGAAGGTCAGCTTCTTGCGGCCCTGCAGCACCACGCACGCCAAGGATAGCATTGACAAGTTATTCTTCGCAGCTCGTCGCTCGCAGCTGGTGGCTCACGACACGATAAACGCAGAAGACGCACGGCAGAGCGACACTAGCGGCGAGGGCCCGATCACCGGCTAGAGTTCTGAGCACGGCTTAGCGGCTATAATGTAGACCTGGTTAAGCGGTTCGAATTCCAAGCACACCTTAGCGGCTGAGATTTGAGCATGTCTCAGCGGCTAGATAACTGAACCGGCTCTGCGGGACTCACGCGCGGCTTGATGGTGACGAAGAGCAGGTCGACGTCCGTGACGTGCAGCCCGCCGGCTCCACCCCCAGTCGCGATGATCCCGAGGTCGCGGCAGAAGCGCACGAACTTGATGTTGTCCATCTCGTCCACCTCGCGCGCCGTGCCCAGGCTGCAGAGAGCACGGGGGGAGAGGGATTGAAGTAAAAAGAAGGTTCGCAACACATAGTAAGGCGGAAGCTAGCTGATGTTGCCAGTCTCGTCCACCTCGCGCGAGCCGAGACTGGCGAGGGGGACAGCGGTGAGAGGGATTCAGGCGAGGAGAACGGTGGTAACACATGAGTAAGGCGGAGGCCGACTTGGTCTGGCCTATCTCGTCGACCAAGCGCGCCATACCAAGGCTGGCGAGGACGAATATGTAAAGAAATCCAAAAAGGGGGCAGCCGAACGAGCGACCTTCGGTTATAATGACAAGACTGAAGGATTTCCGGGGATTTACGCTAGGCAATCGTCCTACAAGCTATCCTAGAAATCCTGATTACGACGTTCCGGTCTCCTTGTCAGAAGGAGCCTGAAGTCGAAAAACGCACCAGCAGTACTGCTTGAATATCTGGTATAACGACTCGTAATCATCGTCCGAGTGGAATTGAAACCCGTCAACCCACGCCATTCTCGAGGGAGACAGGGCGAAGCAAAGAATAGCGGACTACTCGTTCAGTACAGCTTGTCGAAGCCTTGAATAAGCTTGTAAATGTCGCTAAGTACGGCTGGCCTGAATCTTAGTCAGTGAAATGGTGGCTTCGCCTCGAACGGCTAAGAAAGCAGAAGTAGAGGGTTTGCAGTTGCATTGCGGTTGGGTGAGGGTGCTGCCTGCCGAAATCTGATGGCCCTTCATGGACCTGAGCTGAACGCAAACCAACGGCTCGCGGTTTGGCGCCAAACCCTGGCCAGGGGAATCCCAGCCAAATTGTTCTGGATGGATGGTTCACTTCATAGTGAGCCTCAAACATCGTTAGAAGATGTGAGGTTTCGAAAACAATCTGACTACACGACTAGGTGTAATGCCGTTTGAAACAATAGCTCACCTTGCACGGTACAGTCCGATGCAAGTGTTGAATTGCGCAATCCAAGGCGATTTTGCCTGGTAATGTGCGAATTTGATTCTGATAATGATTCTGATGCTAATTCATGAATGCGCCCCTAGATTATGAAATAAATCGTCTTATGTTGTAAGAGACTAAGTATAAAACTATAAATGCGAACACTTGGCAAATCCTCAAGTGTTGGTCCAGGATCTTTGCTGGAATGGTAGACTAGTAAGACAGCGGAAGTCTTGTAAAATGTAAAGGTCAAGGTTGAATAACCTGAGTACGTAAACTTGTGAGTAATCAAAGTTAATGATGAAAAAGACCTAACAGAGATTTATAGTTCTACGAAAAGTACCTATTCGCTAATGTACCTGTTCGTCACTATCGCGCTATGCGCCCTAGATGATAATGAAGGGGTGCGACTGTTCGCGTGACTGAAACGACTGTCCTATGACGAGCGCTATTTGCTGACGTCATCCTACGGACTTATCTTCTACAGTATGATTCGACACTAACTATACATAATCGACTTACAGAAATGCTAAGTATCAATTATATCACAACAGATTCATCTTGGCATGTATAGAATATACCTAAAAACTTGTTCTCATGTATCATTAAGCATACGGTATTATGAAGATGTCTATCCTGATTTTCAAAAGGCTTGACTCGCTATCAACTCAACATCAATTTATCTGCGTTCCAAATTCATGCAATAAAATTGGCGTCATATGAAAGCTACACAACATGCATGTACAATTGACAGAGGCGAAGACAACGACTTATAGCGACGGAACAATCTGTCCCCAAAATGGCAATGTTTAGCAAGTTCATGATGTTTTGACAAGTATAAATGAATTATTTGTTAAAATTATATAAGTTATAATTTAATATAGGCTTGGTAGGTTGTTACTGAACCTTTCTGTAGAGGGTACAAACCCCTCCTTGTACTCCTCTCTCTTCCTAATCCAACCCCTTCTTTCTCGACACTTTTCCTACCCTCCTAGCTAAACCCCGCCGCCACATTCATGGCGGCCTTGTTCCTGCCTAGTATCCTAGCCTAGTGCTACTTTAACATGGTATCGAGAGCAGGACGCCCTCCCTGGGCCTACTCCCCTCCGTGCTTCCGCTGCGTACTCGTTCACTGCCTTCCAACTTCCTGCTGCCGTGGCAGCTTCTCCAAGATGCCGCGGCGGCTTCTTTTAAGTGCCGCCGTCTCAGTGTCGCCGAGCAGCCGCAGCGACGATGCGGCGCCGTGGTGGCGCCGTCGAGCTTCCGTGGTGCGTCGTCGGCCTGGCGGCGTCGTAAGACTGCCGTGGCGGCGTCGTCGGCCGACAGCCGGCCGCGCAACGTCAGTGGCGCCGCCGGTCCTGCCGCCCGCTCTACCGCCACCGACGTGATCATGGACTACGCCCCCCCCCCCCCCACCTCCTCCTCCTTCCCCTGCTTCCCCCCCTTCCTTGCTGCAGCCGACGACTGCCTCATGAGGGCCCTCCCCACCGCCAAGGTGACTGGACATGCCGCCAAGAGGGCGGGGGCCGCTGCACCAGCCTCTGACGTTCAAGCCGCCGCTGCTGTCGTCACTATCGCTGCTGCCGCCATTGCCATCCCACGGGCCGTGGGAGCTGCCCACTTCCGGAGTCGTTGCGGTTCCTGCTGGGAATGGGGGTGCTGGGTTAGGGGGTGTGGGTGTGGGTGTGGGTGTGGGTGTGGGGGGTGTGAGTGGGCTTGACACTACCAAGCCTAGGGGGTGTGTTAAAATTATATAAGTTATAATTTAATATAGGCTTGGTAGGCTGTTACTGAACCTTTCTGTAGAGGGTACAAACCCCTCCTTGTACTCCTCTCTTTTCCTAATCCAACCCCTTCTTTCTCGACACTTTTCCTACCCTCCTAGCTAAACCCCGCCGCCACATTCATGGCGGCCTTGTTCCTGCCTAGTATCCTAGCCTAGTGCTACTTTAACATTATTTACAATGTGGAGCCTGTGGACATTATGCAAAAACAATTGATGCACCTCCAGATATAACAAACTAGCCAATATCGAATCGCTAATAACGAGTACAAGCTTTAACGCTCGACGGTCGATGCGGACAAATACTACCCGAGTAAAGACTAGATCTGTTTCCGTCGAGCATTCTTTGCACGAGCTAGCAAAGTTGCTCAGACTTTTGCTAGCGCATGCCCCTTACCCCGTGATCCTCCAGTAACCACGCGCCCGCTTGCTTCGCGTCAGAGATACCAGATCATGAGCCTCTAGCACCAGTGTCCGAGTTTTCGACCGATCGCACGAACGCTAGGAATAGGGCAGAGAATCGACCAAAAAAACACTCTGAAGCCTAGTCACAGCAGTAGTCGTCCAGTAGCTAGGCCAAATGTCAACTCTTTAGGTCGACCGCGACTGCTCTCAGCGTGATACATGTGCACTTTCGTGCACACCATCATGTTAGGTGCCGCGTTGACGAGCATCGAGCTGCATAACCGCTGGAACCGAATCACGTTGTTAAGGTCTACCCTCACAATGTACGAAATGCCCTCTGGGTGAGTGGGTTAGTTGCTGTACAACTATTGCGCAAGCCTCAATTATTAGCGCGCAACATGTGCGACTATACAGAATTTCGCCAGAGCCCACCTAGACTGGACTCTGATGACTGGAAGCGGGTGATCTGGTCGAACATGATTCAGATCACTCGATATAGCTTGGATAGCCACACTCACGCATGGATTCGCGAAGGCGCTGCTCTCTAGGGGCATCAGGTGAAGTAGACTGTGAAGCATGGGGGCGGGCCAGACATGGTTTGAGTCTGTGTAATGTCTGATGTGCAGCGTGATACATGTGCAAGATTGATGGCCGCACAGATGGCCAACTCTATCACAGCATATTGCAGGACGAGGTGGCTCAAACTCTTGATTCCTATGATTTGACCATCTCTGGCATGACGTTCCAGTACGCTATACGACCCCAAAACCACGTGCAGGATCGTCCAGGAGTGGCTAGAAGAGCAAGATTCCGCGGTCCTACAATGACCCTATTCCTCCCCCGACCCCAATCCCATCGAGCAGCTCGCCAAGCATGAGCAACCCCCCACAGGCATGCTGCAAACTTGGGAGCAGGTGCACGAGGCATGGAACAGCATTAGGGCTAGCATGTGCAAGGCTCTTATAGACACTATGCCTAGGAGGATCAGAGCAGGAAGTAGGGTTAAGGGGAGATGGACCTGGTATGGATATCGATAATTTTAAATGTCGCTCATCCCGGGAACATTCTGTCCGAGTGTACCACTTGTGATCCTCGTTGTGCTATGTTCTGTTCTTGTTTGTTTTTTGGACAAGTTTTCATTTGTCACACAAGCCTATAACAGTGGCAACTAGAACCTTAAAACCGGGTTATAAAAAACCTGATCATTTTCTCATGGGCTCTGATTTTGTCCAGTTAATGGCCAACATGTGGACAGATTGTTCACTCGCTGTAAGTTTCTTCCCTGAAAAAAATTGGCCTTGTGTATCAAAGTTAACGAATGAGTTGAACCAGGACATACAAGGGAATATAACCTAGTGGGTTGTACTCTCAAAGGCACAACACTGTGTAATCTATAACAAAATACAAAGATATCTTTGACACAACCCCTAGACTTGATAGGGGCAGTGCCTGGTGAGAGACAAGCAGCTCAGGGAGGCACTACTAGTCCAGCCTCTGAGGCAAGGGTCTAAAGACCAGTCAAACGAGTATAAACAAGGCAAGAGAAAAAAAAACCAGGGCGGCACTACTAGTCCAACCACTGGGAAGAGGCCACAAGGCCAGTCAAGGTAATATACATATAAAGGTCTATACACAATCAAGGTTTTAGCAAATGAGAGGCTACAAGAACGAGACCAAGCTGTACACAGTGCCGCTAATGATCTTTAGGCGCAAGCGCCTTCGTAAAGATATCAGTTGTGTTGGCACCTAAGGCCAAGTGTATTATGCGTACCTGACGACGCTGCTGTAGCTCGCGCAGGAGGAAGTACCGCAGCTAGACGTGCTTCGCTCTGCCCTCAAGTCGAGGCTCCTAACACAGGAGGATCATGGCCCTGTTGTCAGCGTACAGAATCGGGGCGGAGCTAGGCCGCTCAACTAAGTCGGTGAGCAAGAAGGTCAGCCAGCGGAGCTCCTGTGCCGCCATGGCACCGGCATAAATCTCAGCCTCACAGCTAGACTGGGCAACAGACGAGGAGCGAGTGGACCTCCACGAGATGGCACCTGAACTAAGGCTAAAGCAGTAGCCCTGGGAGGACCTAAGGGTCTCAGCGTCGTCTGCCCGCGAAGCGTTTGTGTGCCCAGCAAGGACCACTGGCCTGCGTCCTCCCAGCACTAACCCCATGTCCGATGTACTTGCTAGATAATGCAAGACCCTCTTAGTGGCAGACCAGTGCTGTGGTCGATGTCTGCCTGTGGCCACAAAGCGAGCTAGGATGCTGAGAGGGTATGCGAGATCTGGACGAGTGCAAGTCATCAGGTACATGAGGCAACCCACTAGCTCTGCGTAAGGACCACTGGGCTCTACTGACTCCTCAGGAACTGGAGCAGAGAGCCTGTGAACTATCGGCAGAGGTGTGGGCTGTGTGGAGGAGAACTGAAGGCTGAACCTCTGAAGGACCTGGCGCACCAAGTGTGAATGTGTGAGAGTGATGATGCGTGCTGCTCTGTCCCTGGAGATCTGCAGGCCAAGGTAGTGGCGCAGCTCTCCTAGGTCGATGCAGGTGTGTCTCCTCAGTAGCTCAGCCTTCACGGAGGCCAGCGCGTCTCTGTCTGCAATAGCAAATTCTAGGTCGTCTACGTAGACAAGGATGTAGAATGGAGTCTGGCCGAAACGGACGAAGAGCGAGGGGTCTGCAGAGGACGGGAAGAACTGCAGGTCAGCAAGTGTAGCACGCAGCATGTCGTGCCACTCACGAGGCACTTTTCGCAAGCCGTAGACGGGGCGCCGGAGGAGCCACTCGGTACGAGGGGGAAAGGTACCAGAGAAGCCCTGGGGGCGGCGTAGGTAGACCTGCTCATGTAGACAGCCCTGGAGGAAAGCTGTGGAGAAGTCGAGGGTGTGCAGCTCGTAGTCACGCTGTGCTGCTACGTGTAGTAGCACCCGAAGAGAAGTCATCTTTGGGGTCGGAGCGAAGTTCTGGAAGAAGTCCACCCCCTCATGCTGATTGAAACCTCTAGCCACGTAGCGCGCCTTAAACACAGGCGGCTCTCCAAGAGGGCGCTTCACCTTGAAGAGCCAGCGGCCATCAACTACGTTCACCCCAAGTGGGGG